ATTTTCATGAAAGGATGACTAATCTCAGTCATTACCTGAACCGCAGAGTCCACAGCAGCTGGGCCGAAGGCTCAGTTTCAAATCATATTTTAAGATTTTTGGTCACACTCTGGAGTCCTCTGTCTGTGCGCAGTTGATTAATTGGTGCCTGGCTGTTCACACTCTGGTTCAGAGCTGACAATCTCCTCTCTCCACAGGCCTTAACCATTCCATTGCAACTGCTTTTGCTTTGTGGGTGCTGCTGTTAAGGGCAGCATTTATTACCCATCTGGACTTGCCCTGAGGGCATTGTGAGTCAATCATTTTCTGTGATACTGGAGGCACATGTAACCTGAGCAGAGGGGACTTGTTTCCTTGCTTGAAGGATGTAGTGAACCAGTGGGGTTTTTAACAATAATCCTATGAATGTTATTTTGTTTTGGTACCAGAATCCTGGTGATTTGTGCTAATATTGTTGTTACTATGGAGGGCGATACATCAACGATCTCATAGAATCCCTACAGCGTGGAAGCTGGCCATTCGGGCCAGCGAGTCACACTGCCCCTCCGAAGAGCTTCCCACCCAGACCCACCTACCCTACCCCTGTAACCCTGCATGTCCCATGGCTAGTCCACCTAACCAACGCATCTTTGGACTTTGAGAGGAAACCCAACCAGACACAGGGAGAATGTGCAAACTCCACACAGACAGTCGCCCGAGGGTGGGATCGAACCTGGGTCCCTGGCTGTATGAGGCAGCAGTGCATCAATTGTGCCCACCACATTGTCTGGGTGTTGCGAGCCTGCACTGCACTTTTAACACTACTCTCGACTGTCCATTCCCTGAGTTTGCTGTATCTCTGTCCCTAACTTATTTAAGAGTAACTGTTGTCTGACTTTCTATGGGTCGTTTAAACTATTTATTTACTTCCCAATACAGGGGTCCCCAATATCCGAACATCCAACTTACAAATGCAATCTCACATGGGGGTGTAATTTTAAAGACCTGATAAAAGAACATGCCCTTGTACTTCCAAAGGCAGGTAGTTGCGCTATAACGCGTGTTTCGTTCATGCAAATTAGCTGTGTCGTGATCGATGAATAGTGGATGCTGTTTGGATAACACAAACTTTCTGCTGCACAGGTATAGCGATTTCCCTATAATGTGATTTTCTATGGCAGTTTTTTATAGTGGGAGGTCATACAAGAAAGCAACTATCGCGTTATAGGAGAACTACCTGTAGTTCCTTTATATTGCCCCACATTGTATTCTCACTTGTGTACAAATTGACCTGTGAACAGACTCCAGAACAGTACCCGTTCACAACCCAGGGACTGCCTGTACACACAACACTGATTTCAGCTTTCTCACACAGTTCTTCCCTTTCTCATCGAATGTTGATGTCATATTCACATCACCAACATTAACATATTCACTCCCATTACACCACATACAGATCTTCAGATTTTAATTAATTTAATTTTCCCAACTTGTCCTACCCTGACTTGAACTCACAGCCTCTGAATTGCATGTCCAACATAGAAAACAGCAGCAGAAACAGGCTCAGAGATAGTAGGAACTGCCGATGCTGGAGAATCTGAGATAACAAGGTGTGGAGCTGGATGAACACAGCAGACCAAGCAGCATCAGAGGAGCAGGAAAGCTGACATTTTGGGTCTGGACCCTTCTTCAGAAACAGGCTATTTGGCCGTTCAAACCTGTGCTGCCATTCAATATGATCATCCAACTCAGTGCCCTGTTCCCACTTTTCTTCCATGCCCTTTGATTTCTTTAGCCCTAAGAACCATATCTAATGCCTTCTTGAAAACATTCAGTGTTTTGGCCTCTGCTGCACACTTGCCTTCATTGGTCAGGACATTGAGTATGGAGTTAAAAAGGACCTGAGGGACAATTTTTCATGCAGAGGGAGGTGTGTGTATGAAACAAACTGCCAGAAGAACTGGTGGAAGCTGATATAATTACAACATTTAAAAATCGTCTGAATGGGACATGAATGGAGATATTGGCCAAATGCTTCCAAATGGCATAAAGTCAGATTGGATGTCTGGACACTATGCTGCAGCTGTACAGGACATTAGTGAGACCACTTTTAGAATACCATGTCCAATTCTGGTCTCCCTTCTATGGGAAGGATGTTGTTAAACTTGAGAGGGTGCAGAAAAGATTTACAAGGATGTTGCCAGATTTGGAGGGTTTGAGCAACAGGGAGAGACTGAAAGGGCTGGGGCTATTTTCCCTGAAGCATCGGAGGCTGAGGGGTGACCTTATCAAGATTTATAAAATCATGAGGGGCATGGATAGGGTGAATAGCCAATGCATTTTTCCTAGGGTGGGGGAGTCCATAGGTTTAAGGTGAGAGGGGAAACATTTAAGAAGAATCTGAGGGGTAAATTTTTCATGCAGAGGGTGGTGTGTGCATGGAACGAGATGCCAGAGGAAGTGATGGAGGCTGGTACAATTATGAGATTTAAAAAGCATCTTATGAATAGGAAGGGTTTAAAGGGAGATGAGCCGAATACTGGCAAATGGGACTAGATCAGATTGGGGTGACTGGTTGGTGTGGATGATTTGGACTGAACAGTCTGTTTCCATGCTGTATGACTTTATGAAACTACAATTGCTTTCTGGGGCAAAGGATTCTATAGGCTCACCAGTCTCTGGATGAAGAAATTCCTCCTCATCTCCTACTAACCGGCCTCTACATCCTTAAACTGTGAGTCCAAATTCTGGATGCTGCAGTCATCAGGGAACATCCTTCCTGCATTTACCCTGTCTAGTCCATTAAAACTTCATTCATCTAAACTCCAGTGAATATAGTCCTAACTGATCCAGTCTGTCTTTATATGTCAGCCCTGCCATCCCAAGAATCCGTCTGGTAAACCTTTGTTGCACTCCCTTAATAAGCTGAGCATCCTTCCTCAGATATGGCGAACTGAGCTACATGCAATTCCCCAAGTGTAGTTTCACCAAGGCACTGTACAAATGCAGGAAGACATTCCTGCTCCTGTATTTGAACCCTCTCGTATGAAGGCCAACATACCATCTGACTTCTTCAACGCCTACATTCTCAAACCAATAATTTGCTGTGATTTTGACCTCGAATCATGCTGCTTTAATTAGCCACCATGAAGTATCTGACCTGAGGGCTGCTTGAAGTCTCAAGCCACATAACTCATTGCCTTTCTGGAGATCTCGCTGAAGCTTCACTGCACAGGGCCTAAAAGCAACTCCTCCCTGGGGTGGCAGCAAAATGTAAATGTCCAAAATGAAAAACAGAGTTGCCATGTATGATTCCTCCAATATTTAACTATCCACAAGTCCTTGAGCAAACCCCCTCCACAGAACCGTAGCTGTTGATGTTACAGTGTACACCCTTTGAAGGGAGTGCCTCATATTCCATCTTCAGTTGCGATCCTGCAGCTTATACGTCGCCTTCCTGTCTCATCAGTGCCACCGGCTCCCCAAGCCAACCTCTACAGCGTTCCACAGCAAACAGCTGCCAGAAGTTACACTTCAGTCCCTACTGAATCCAGCAAGAAAATTTAGTTTTGCTGAAAGCTGCTTAATATCCATGAATCAGTTGTAGATGGCAGTAGAAATCTACTAACCGCAGTATAAAATCAGCTGTTAGCATTGCAATATTATAGACTTTGAGCCTCCACATTAATTTTAATGCATGCAAAGTTTATTTGGCTAGCTCAAATGTGTTTTTCATGCCTGAAGCTAAACTCCCATAAATCTTAAATCCCAAATAGGACCTGCTTAACTTCATCTCCTGTGTGCACTTGAGCCTTCATTGTAAAATAAGGCAATCAGTGCCAAGCTCCATTACAATTGAAAAGAATGTTGGGAGCAGGGGTTGAGTACCAGACATGTTCTGTCACTCTGAACTGTTTCTACCAACCATTTTCATTTGCTCTGATTACTTAGTGCTGTGGGAATGGTTTATAACTGCCCCAGATCAACTATTGGCCATTTTAACCAACCATATATTGAGCACTAACCCAAGATCTGTTTCAAGTTTACAAATGATGCAGTGTGGTGTAAACAAACTTGCATTTGTATAGCAGTTTTCACTTCCTCAGAGGGTCACAAAGTACTTTGCAACCATGACTGTACCTTTGAAATGTTGGTCCTGATGTAATGTATGGAAAGGTAGCAGCCAGTTCGAACAAAGCAAGTTCCTGCAAACAGCAACACAGAGATTTATACATGTTTAGCAAGAGCTGTACAATTCTGGAGTCACTTTGCTGTTGGATATTACGATCTGGGTTTTGTCATGATTATCAACTGGACAATGTGGTTGAACTACACTTGCTAGAAGCTACACATAACCATCACCGAACCTCCGCAGGTAGAGGGGTCATGTCCAAGCTTTGAGCCTTTTGGGAGCCAAACAGAAAACAAAGGGACAATTGGTCTCTGGTGCATTCACTGTGGCAACCCCTTGACTATTAAGTGTCAACTTGACAACCAATCAGCACCGTTGTTTCAGGCACCAGATACTGTTGTTCCCTTTGAAATTTTCCATTTATCAGGCATTAAATGACTGCACAGAGGCCAGTATCCCACCACCAAGTCACCCTTTATTTACATGTGTGCAGTACTTTAGTTGTTACCAGCCAGCTCGGAGTCAGTCCCTGAAATGAGGAGATTCTGGATCTCCTGTTTATATTGGTCAGCCAGGGCTTCTTGATTGTCCCAGGATAACAACTCTAATCATAGTCAGCAAGATTCACCTGGTTCCAATCACTACATGACAGAAGATGAAAATCATTAACAGCATATTTCTTCTGCGATTTATAACCTCCTCTTTTTAAACTGTGATCACCTACACTCCCTTCACCAATGCCTTTACACCCGACAGAGAAAGAAAGCTTCATGCTAACTCTCTGGGCTAAGTCTGATCCTAGCTTCCGAAGTTCAAAGGGAGTTCACCCAGTGTTTGCAAGCAGGAATTTTAACAGACCTGGATTAATTGATTGTTTTTTTTATTGTAGAGTCTTTCTACGAGCCATTAACAAGTTTGCAGAAACCATGACACAGAAATTCCTGGAGAATATGAACTTTGAGCAACAGGTGAGTCAACATGAGAAACATCTGTATCAGCCTGCTGAACGGTAATCGGGTCTTTCTAAAGCACCAACAACCTTCAAGACCATTACACTTTTGATGGTAACTGAATGAGATAACCACAAAACAGCTTAAATCAGAATAGGTGGCCCAAGTTGCTTCACAGAGGCTTGAAGAAACTGTAGGCCAAGGTAGAGGAGACATTTGATTGAGATGTCTTAAACTTAGTCAACGAGATTAATTTTTCAGGACAATGCAGGAAATAATTTATTGTTAGGTTTGTTTGAAAGATGATGGTCTTTGTTGTTGAGAGAGATAACAAGATGTAGAGCTGGATGAACACAGCAGGCCAAGCAGCACCAGAGGAGCAGGAAAGCTGACGTTTTGGGCCTAGACCCTTCTTCAGAAATGGGGGAGGGGAAGGGGGTTGTGAAATAAATAGGGAGAGAGGGGGAGGCAGATAGAAGATAAAGGAGAAGATAGGTGGAGAGGAGATACACAGGTCAAGGAGGCGGGGGTGGAGCCAATAAAGGTGAGTGTAGGTGAGGAGTTAGGGAGGGGATAGGTCAGTCCAGGGAGGACGGACAGGTCAAGGGGGCAGGATGAGGCTAGTAGGTAGGAGATGGGGTTGGGGCTTGAGGTTGGAGGAGGGGATAGGTAGGAGGAAGGACAGGCTCAGGAGGCGGGGACAAGCTGGGCTGGTTTTCGGATACGGTAGCGGGAGGGGAGATTTTGAAGCTTGTGAAGTCCACATTGATACCATTGGGCTGCAGGGTTCCCAAGCTAAAAATGAGGTGCTGTTTCTGCAACCTTGGGGTGGCATCGTTGTGGCAATGCAGGAGGCCCAGGATGGACATGTCATCTGAGGAATGGGAGGGGGAGTTGAAATGGTTCGCGACTGGGAGGTGCAGTGTTTAGTGCGAACTGAGCGTAGGTGTTCCGCTTGGTTTCCCGGATGTAGAGGAGGCCACATCTGGAACAGCAGATATAGTATACCACATTAGCAGATGTGCAGGTGAACATCTGCTTGATGTGGAAAGTCTTCTTGGGGCCTGGGATGGGGTTGAGGGGGGAGGTGTAGGGGCAGGTGTAGCTCTTCCTGCGGTTGCAGGGAAAAGTGCCGGGTGTGGTGGGACTGGAGGGGAGTGTGGAATGGACAAGGGAGTCACGGAGAGAGTGGTCCCTCCAGAAAGCAGATAAGGGTGGGGAGGGAAAAATGTCTTTGGTGGTGGG